AATAATATACAAGACCCCAAGCAACTTGACCAAGAGAGCTGGGCGGAGAGGAACCTAATGAAGTTCAACAACAGCAACTGTAGGGCCCTGCACCTAGGGAGGAATAACCCCAGGCACCAGTATGGGTTAGGGGCTGACCTGCTAGAAAGCAGCTCAGCGGAGAAGGACCTGGGAGTCCTGGTGGACAACAAGTTAACCATGTGTCAGCAATGTGCCCTTGCGGCCAAGAAGGCCAATGGTATCCTGGAGTGCATTAGGAAGAGGGTGACCAGCAGGTTGAGGGAGGTTATCCCTCCCCCTCTGCTCTGCCCTGCCCTGGTGAGGCCACATCTGGAGTACTGTGTCCAGTTCTGGGCTCCCCAGTTCAGAAAGACAAGGAACTACTGGAGAGAGTCCAGCGGAGGGCTACGAAGATGATCAGGAGACTGGAACACCTCTCTTATGAGGAAAGGCTGAGAGAGCTGGGTCTGTTTAGCCTGGAGAAGAGGAGACTGAGAAGGGATCGTATCAACGCTTAGAAGTATCTTAAGGGCAGGTGTCAGGAGGATGGGGCCAGACTCTTTTCAGTGGAGCACAGCAACAGGATAAGGGGCAATGGGCACAAACTGAAACACAGGAAGTTCCACCTGAATGTGAGGAAAAACTGTGAGGGTCACAGAGGACTGGGTCAGGCTGCCCAGAGAGGTTGTAGAGTCTCCTCCTCTGGAGATATTCAAAACCTGCCTAGACATGATCCTGTGCAACCTGCTCTAGGTGAACCTGCTCTAGCGGGGGGGGTGGACAAGCTGATCTCCAGAGGCCCCTTCCAACCCCAACCATTCTGTGACCTAATATTAAAGCTAGTCCTGTCTCTGATGGAAGTGGGGAGGTGGATTGGGTTTGACCAGATTACCTTCTCAGGTTCATTCCCACCTAAATTATTCTACGGTTCTGTTCTGTATAGATGTGTTTTAGTTCAAATACATATTTAAGTAATTAGTGGAATTATATTTGCCTTTTCACAGAAAGAAAGGGAAAACTAGGAAAACTATAAAGAAAAAGATACCTCTCTTGTTCAAGCTGGTCGGGACAGATTGGTAAGTAAAAAACAAACAAAAATCCACCAAAAAACATATATTCCACACCATATAAGCACTCCATCTTATTTCCAGAAAAAAAGCTTCATAACAAAATTTTTATTCCAGGAATTTCCTGCAATTTCTATTTTTATCTAGAAATAGAAATTTAAGGAAAGACCGATTCCTTCCAAAACCCAGTGATCTAAAGAGTAACACATAGAAACACACAAACGACTTCATCCCATTCTGAAATATAATTTCTCATTTTAATCTGAGATTCTGTAAACACCTCCAGGGGCAGGTCCTTTTGAACTCTTACTTCTGAGAGTGGAAAAAGTTATATTTTTGACTGACAACATAGGTTTAAAGTGAAAATACCATTTGTCTGTGCCAGCTGTAATGCATCTTTACTGTCTTGTAGACTCCCACCTGTAATCAAAAACTTGGAAGAAGAAAAGTACTGTCAGCAAGTATGTTCTTTGAACATCAAAAAATGTTTAAGAAAACACTCAGATATGAGTAAGAATCTGGGCAGAGAACATCAGAAGACAATTACTCATGTATGTATGACAAAATTTCATAAATAAGTAACAAACCTCTTGAGATAGTAAACACACTAGGTATCAAAACATGATTTTTTTTCCTTTACCAAGTATCTTCTATGCTAAGTACTTAAACCATAAATGAGTAAAATACTTCTATTTGTAGCAGTATTAACTTCATTAGACAATGACTCAAGAAACTTTATTTGTATTCAAGAAATGATATTCAGAAACATTCTCCCTGCCTTACAGGTGGAGAAACGAAAAACTCCCAAACACGCAAATCAAGACATGAGTAAGTAGATAAACGAACAAAGGAGTCTGTATCAGACTCAGGATTACAAACTTATGAATTTCTGGATCCGATCTTTTATTTTTACTTTAAGATCAAAGGTTATCACACCAGAAGTGTTGCTTACAGTGTTTTTTGAACCACCACTCACAGGATCTTGTGCCCTAGGTCCTAATAAATCATGACAACACTGCTTTTGGACATCTCTCATTCCTACCCATGCTACACCAGACCTGGTCAGCACCAGGTCAGACATTTCTGCAGTATGCTCCATTTGAGATGGACACATCCCAACAGTATCACCAGAAAAATAAGTTAAGCTGAAATTGGCTCAGTGTACATACAGCACAGGGCAAAACTTCACAAAAAGTTATCATAAACCAGCAGCTATATGGAAAAATTTGGAAGTATTTTCAAATATGGAAGTATTTTCATATGGAAAATATGGAAGTATTTTCAAATAAACAGATTAAGCTTCTAGGCAAGTAGAAACAACCTGGGATGGAACAGACTTCTGACACCATACAGGCCAGCAGCATGACTGAAGACAAAGCTAAGGACACGGAACATCTGAATTCCATTTCTGAATCCACCGTGTATCTTGAAAATGTTATGCAGCCAATCTATTTTTGATAATAAAATAGGAAGATTGCCACTTACTTTCAGAAGGACGTATAAAGATTAAATAGTACTTACACAGCACATATAAATGCAGTACAAGGGACTACGATTCTGTATTTGCTGCAGTGTGGTAACTTCTCCATCACTAGAATTTTCTTTTTTTGTCTCCCAGTTTATTTCCCACTCTTTTCAGATGAGAGCCCTTCAGCAATCTTATGAGATGCCTGTTCCTCTTCTAGAGGAGGGTTTATTTCTTTATTTCTAATCCACCAGCCTTATTAGTGCAGTAGAACAGTTTGTGTCAGTATGCGTTGTATTCTATTTTAATTAATATTTTTTGTCTTGACAACTTAA